ATTCCCCTTTTTAGAGCTAATAAATAATAATAAACGTTACATTGGCTTCTAAAAAACTTTCACTTTCATGTTTCATAACTCCCTATTTATAGTCAAATTTCACGTCTGTGCCAGGGCTTTGTATGTACATGCATTGTATGGTAAAAAAGGCCATTGTGTTCAGGCAATTAGGTTTGTGAAATGTAAAGGAATGAATGAAGGATTTAATTAAACAAACAAACAAACAAACAAAGAAACAAATAAATAAATAAATAGCAACAACAACCTACTTTGAATTCCATTACAATTCATCAATAATTTGTTTATTATATGATCCTCTGAAGATCCTGCAGTTTTTATGTAGTCCACTATATAAATGGATGTACTTGGGGTGTATTTAGTTCCATTAGTTCTTAATTAAAATATCCCATATATTGATACTAGTCTGTACTAATACAGAAGATCAGAATTAATTTTAAAAGATGAAGTGAAGTTGCATAGATCTGCTGGTGTCACTCTATTGCCTGTGGGTGTAGTCATGATTGTACTTGCCACAGAAGAGGCAAGCATTAGCTGACTACATACTTTCATTTACAGTTTACCAGATCTGAACTACTTTTTAATTTATGCAAATTGCACTTTTTTGGCACATGTGCTCAAAAAATTGTAATATAGTTGTCTTACATGTGTACGATAGAAACTTATGTGGTTTGCATTTTGATCAACACATTGCTGATCCAAACTAATGAGTTGATTCTAAGTGAAAGTGGCACACATTTCATTTCTTCTAAACATTCATCATGTGAGCCAAAAATTATCTATTCAGTTACCAAACTTGCCCACAGAAATAATGTACTAGAAATGTGAATATTCTTTAAGTTAAGTCAAGTCACCTTTATTTATATAGCGCTTTTAACAATACAGACTGTGTCAATCTGTAGTTAGAATATCATTTGTAGTTGTAAGGGTTTAATAATAAGTGTTTCATTATGGTTACACATGAATTGGTTTCCAAATGGCTGAAGGATGATAAAACATACAATTAATTGTACCCAGCATGTGAGTTTTTCATTTTAAACACTAAAAAATATATTTTACACAGGTTTATTCCACTGAATTTTTTTTAGCCATTTTGGAGGCAGAAGGCTCCAGGGCGGATTAGATGGAGGGAGGGACCCATGCCACAGCCATGAAGAATTTAATGTGTCCTAAATATTGTTGGTCCCACTGTATATCAGGTTGCATTAATGTACGTACATCAAAACAAATTAAGTACAATGTACTTACTGTGCTCATTGTTTTGCAAATCATTGTTGCTGAGGTAGGATACGGGTAAGGTTAGGGACGGGTTTGGTGGTATGGGTAGGTTTAAGGGTGGGTTAAGGTGTAAGGAATGGGTCAACAGTGTAATTATAAATGTAAAAATTAATTACAGATGTAATTACATGCAGGTGTTTTTTTTTATGAAAGTACAATGTAAGAACAGATATGTACATAATAAGTGCATTGTATTAAATGAATAATTTAAATGTAAGTACATAGTAGTTAAGGCCACCTTATAAAACATGGGGCCATATTGTTTTTGAATTGCCACATTTGGGTAAAGAACAGAACACCATGTTCTGACATTGCTAGAATTATCTGTACTGTTATCAGAACATGTAGAAATGTTGTCTTCATGGGGTAAAACTGTGTTCCACAACAACAGTTTTACAGAAGGTTCTGTCTGACCTAAACCTTGAAACTGGGGTTAATCATTAAATATCTTTCTTTCAGAATTCTGTTCTACATGTAATAAGGCTGTGATTAGCTTACTTTTTATTATTTTCTTCAAGACTGTGATGCACTTAATTTTGAGTGATTTGCTGATTCACTGCTAAAACAGCAACACTTTGGTAATGACGGACAGGATTCTGCAATGACAACATCTGGTCATAAATATAAGAGGGACATTTAGTTTTATTTCTTTTGAGGGACAGAACAGGGGGCTGTTTCATAAAATAAGTTTACCAAAAAAGCCAGGCTTATTTCAGTTATTCTGACTTATTTTGAACCAAATCAAATGACAATAAGTCAGACTAACTGAAATAAACCTGGCTTATGTGGTAAACTTGTTTTATGAAACAGGCCTTGGGTAAAACATGTCAGTTAAACACATTTAATCTAATCTTACCAAGTGTTAAAGCTAATGGATTTGAACATCATTTTCTTCATTACAACCCCTCCGATTGTAAATGTATATATAAAAACATACAAAAATACAAAGAACTGAAATTTACTTTAAAAAAAGTAACTGTATTTAACTAGAATCTCAGTTTGAATGGGACTAACAGCTGAAAAGTCCATTTGAACTAATCTAAATAACTTAAATTATCCTGAGGCAGAAAATATAAATTGTATGAATGAATTTTTCTCTCACTCCACTAGATTCTGTCAGTGTGCCAGTGGTCCTTATTGATGTTTGTGAACAAACAGAAAGGCTGAACATCATGAGTGTGATGCATAAATAGACGTTGAACATTAACTTTGATTGTAGTTTTAATAAAGAGACTGCAACCTGTAAGTAGAGCTGAAATCAGATTAGCTAGATGCTGGACATTGAAGAACAGCTTTAAAACTGGAGCGCAAGATCTGGCACAATGGCACTGTATCAGCAACTACCATTTTTCAACCCGGTAAGTGACCTATTATTTTAAAACTGATTTATAATTTATTTTTAAAGATGTTGAAAAGATGGTCTATTGTGGGGAGAGTTTTCATTAATTCTCTTTAATAATGCTAAAATAAAATGACTTTGAACAAATGGATGCATGAAGATGAACAAGCACTCATTTTATGGGATATCTATATATTTTCACACAGAGTGTGCCATTCACTAGACTGATCCAGGGAGGACTGCAAGAGGGAACGAGTATTACTGTATGTGGACGAGTTTTGTCAGATGCAGACAGGTGAGTAACAGTCTGCTGGCATTTATGCGCTTGGTAATTAATGGTATTTAATGATTTGCATTTATTTTATTTTTTTTAAACATTACACTTTCATTAAAACATTTGCAATTGTTTTGTAAAATGTGTTTTTATGTTTGGGCTGAGTTTGCATTGCTTTTACAATATTTTCACCAGAGGATGTTGCCACACGCAGTGTTTCGAGCTTGAATTTAACAATTCAAAGTTTAACTTCTTTCTTCAGCAACTGCCATCGTGAGATATTTCAAATGCTTCAAAAAACAAGAATCATTTTGCAAAGCATATGATTTAATTGACTCAAAACTTCATAACCATAAGCTCTACTTTTCAGCACAATGGTAAACACAAAAACTTGAAACACATTAAATGTCAAATATAACAGCTTTAAACACTTACAAGTCTTTCCCTTCACTAAAAACACGTAAAATAAAACTTGATTTCAACATTTACCCACATCATCCAGTCCTATGAAAGCATGCTAGTTTGCAAATTAGCAAACTTATACAGCATATTTTTTGAAATTTTATTAATCAATAAAAAACATAAATAAATAAAATACAGGCATTTTAATTTAAATTACGCACAATATTAAGTTGCTGTAATGATCCACATTGTGTCAAAAGAACTCAAAATTATGTTTGAAACTTAAAAGGTTTAATCAAGCAGATAAATCACAATTTTTAACGTGCAACCATATACTTTTTTTAAGTTTTAAGTTCTGGTAAAAGATCCCTTGAATTTCTTTTTAGAGTGAGTGAGAGTCAAAGTAGCAAATGCAAATTATTTAACTAAGCAGTTTAAGCATGATAATTGAATGTATTTTGAAAGTACATAATTCTGTGGTATTTAAAAAAACATCAGATGTTAGTCATCACTATATTTTATTACAGTTCTATAGTTCTATAGATTAGCTCTCTCTATTGCAGATTCCAGGTGGACCTCAAGTACGGGTCTGATATTGCTCTGCACTTTAATCCACGCTATGAAGGAGGATCTGAGTACGTAATGCACAACACCCTTCAGAGAGGTAGATGGGGCTCAGAGGAACGCAAGTACGAAACTCCCTTCCCGAGAGGCCAGATGTTTGCTCTGCAGATCCTCGTCACACTGAGCTCATACCAGGTGCTTTACTGTCTGTAAACAGTTTTATTCTTACATGCCCTTTCATCCACCACCACTACAGGTCTTTCTTGATGAATCAGAAGAATGAGAATACTTTTGGCTTTTTCTAGATAAGTACCAACGGGAAACCCTTCTCAGAGTACAAGCACCGTATGCCGTTCTCATGGGTGGACCGAATCCATGTGAGTGGAAATATGGAAGTGAAATTAGTTGCCTTCCAGTATCTTGTGGTGAGATATGTCTTAAATATATACATGAGTGTGTGTGAATTTATATTTTATGTAAACACTAAAATTTCGTTTTTGTTTTTGTATGTGATTAATCATGATTAATCGATTTGACAGCCCTACAATCTTTATTTTATTTTATTTTATTTTATTTTTGTGTTCCTGTCCTAAATATCTACATTTATTTTCATTTACAGTCCCATCAACGACAAGGATCCTTTGTAAGTTATCGGACATATATGGTGAAGGCAAATAGTTGATGTAAATCTCTAAACTTTTAAATGCATGTTAAAATGTATAGCTCTAATTTTCTAGTTTTCTTCCCTGTGTCTCTCTTGCACGCTCTGGCGATTGAAGATCAGATATCTTTTTCAGAAATGGATCGTTTAGGCCAGTTTTGTACAGAGCTCTATATTGCTAAATATCTCTATAAAAAGTCTCACAAAAATCTTTTTTTTTTTAGTATTTAATTACATTTTTTAAGTATGTCATACAGTGAATTGTTAGGGATTATCTGAAGTGGATTTGACAAAGTTCAACAAGAGACTAAATATTTGCTGTGCTACAAAGTATAACATTGTAATTTATTATCTTTCATTATTTTCACCCACAATCAGACAGTCCCATATAAAAGCATCATTCATGGTGGACTACAGCTTGGCAAAGTCATCATCATCCAAGGATTTATCAATCCCCAAGCGAATAGGTTTGACAATGTCATTTCTCTCTGATGCACATTACACAGCTTATGTTTTAAAATAGTTTTTAATATTGTCTAATGTCATAATGGCATCTGATCAATGGAATTTTGAGATGCTTTTTCAAGATGTGATTTCTATATCTTTTCTTTCTCCAACAGAGTAGTGATTAGTCTGCGGCACAAAGCTGGAATTGCATTTGTCTACAATGCTGGTTTTGATGAGAATCTGGTTTTGTGCAACACTTATGGGGATGGAAAATGGGGTGAAGAGGAGCAATCTGAGGTTATGCCGTTTAAAAAAGGGCAACCGCTGCAGGTAGGTGCATACACAGTACAAACACTTTGTTCAAATGGACATTGCTGATATAATTGTAAATACACAAGACTAATGATAGGAAAAACAAATCTTTGAATCAACTGAACTAACTGCTTTGCAAAATGACTCACTTTTTTGAAGTACTTTGAACACCACACACTGATGATGCCTTCTGGTCAAAATGGTGTAAATGCAACACAACCTCATGCCACAATATGCATAAAAACAGCTTTTACAAACCAACTGCAAATGTTTTATTGAAAGTGTAACCTATTACGATCAATTAACAAATCAGTAACATACACAAAGAAGTGCCTTTATGTGATATTTTACCAGTTTGCAGGGCTTGCTTTGTTTGTTTTATGGAGGGCTTAGCCAATCAGGCTAGTAAGACATTGATTACTACAACTCTTCCTTTTCCTTATACAAATGTGTCATAAAAAATGCCTATACATTTAATTTCATTTACAGATCATCGTCTCCCGACAACGGCAAACCATTGAAAATTCTGAAACAGTTGTGACGTAACGAAGCCTCATTTACTGTAATCACGTAACTTTGGCAGTTTGATAGGAATGGTTCTAAACAAATGATTTGCAAACGTTTCGAAGCTTCAAGAAGCAGTGTTTTGAAATATCCCATTGCTACACAAGGAAATCCCTGTACATTAGATTTTGGGGGAAGGCTGTTTTTAATCTTTGCATTGTTGGAGGATTTCACATCTTTGTCTTGTATGGGCATTTCAGGTCACCATTTTCTGCAGTCGTCATCAGTATCAGGTGTTTGTCAATGGTGAACAAACTCACACTTACAGCCATCGCCACACTAAACTGGAGGAGATTGATGTTTTGGAAGTTAGCGGAGACGTGCAGCTAAGCTTTGTGCAGCCCTGACAAGGATTTCATACAAATCTATCTATGAGAAATACTTTTTATAATTTTTTTATACCTCCTTTCTTAGTTTATATGTTTTGCCTGCATCTAATCAACATCTAATCAAATTTACAAAGCAAACAAACGTACAACTGATTATAGTCAAATAGTAATACTCCTGACAAATAGGCACCAGTGTTGCGCTGAAAATATCACTGAAAGATTGACTAGTGATCAGGAGCATTTCCCCACTATAAACACTGAAACACAGAACTGATAATGAAGACATTAGCAGTGAGTGGAAAGCATAATGAAGTCATTTTTGAGATTGCACATTGTGCTCTTGCAGAATTGTTTGTTTTGTTTGGATTATTTTCAATGCCTGTGCTCTCACTGAATAAATGTTTTGTTGCCCTAGTTGGTTGTCTCACAGTTTATCCCTGTAATATACTGTGTAGTCAGTTAACCTGCTTTATGGAATACATTCATTGGTCTAGTAGATCAAGTATGAAAGATTCAATAAATGTTGAGTGCAAAAGCTCCAAGTGTTCAGGGATGCTGATTACTGATATTGTGCCTCAGTTTTTCAGATAATTGAGTTTGCACTCGTACTTCCTTTAAAGAGCTTTGAACTGTACATTTACATTTAGAGGCAGTATGTAGTCAGCCTGGGCCTATATGCAAAAAAATTTTAATAGCCCCAAACAACGTGCAACAAAGAAGCGTTTATAGCCATGCAATATATATATATATATATATCAGGAAAATCCCAAACACATTGTTTAGAAAAATACATTATTTTTCGTCCTAGTAACCTAATACATATTTATTTCACATGGTCAGTAGCACAGTGTTTCTCATTCAAACAATTGCATTGTGTTAAACTGACTTGAAACGGTTGTGTTTTGGTTCATCTCAATACTGTAATTTTGAAAGAACTTGTTTCAACATGTGACTGAAGTAAATTAAGTTAGTACAACACAATTCTTTTCAATCACTTTACCTAATTCATTTGGGTTGAGAAATTATTTTAGTTGTGGAACAGGATTTCCCCTTCCCATCATGCTTTTCACAGGGCTGGATATGAGAGTAAATGTTGGAATAAAAGCTTATTTTATGATTTTTTTTTTAATCAAGAGGATACAATTGGGAGACTTGTTAAATCAACCTGCATCCCACAGATAAAACAACAACATGTCACCAAACATTGTGTTAGAAAGCCTTTGAATCACATGTCACAGTGTTTTATTGTCATTAGTTCACCACAATAGAGGGAGTTTCACAGTCACGACAGCTCAAGCTCAAACACCTTCATTCTCTCACAGAAACTGATCTACTGCTGGGAAACTTACAGATATCAGGCAAACCAGCACAGAGAAATGAATCCAGAGCATACAGGTGTGTTTGAATTAATGTGCTATATTATAGCAAACTGATATTATAGTAATTGTAGATTTTTTTTCCCCAAAAAATAAAAACTGCACATAGCAAAACCTGTTTGACTAGATTGTAGCTGATCTCAGTGACTTTTTACACACTGTTAAAATGGATGATACAGTTCTGAAAATATCTTCACAAACAACAAAACATAATCTAGATGTGTCTGTATTTGCACCAGGGGTTTAGTTGGTAAATATCAATATATCAATAAATCATTATGTTTTTAGACAAATCAGTTTAAGCTGAAGTGACTGAGTCAAATTGCAAATTCAGGCAATGATGAACAGCTGCTGTTAACAAGCAGAATCACTGAAGAAAAGAGAAACACAAGAACTACAACTGACTTCAGACACAGCCTTAGATGAAATCAACTGAAATAACACAGCAGAACATGATTTGTGAGAACATTGGCAATTATAAACTCTTTGACTTAAAGTTTGTAAGAGCCCAGTTGCTTCTATATTTTTGTCCTGTAATTTATTCAAATAAATTATTTGTGCACATTGTTCAGATAAAAAGGTTTATAAATCTTTGATCAGAAATATAAGAAACTGCTCTGTCTTTGAAATGTCTTTTTCCTGTCATCTAGATATCACTGTACTGTCATATGGCTTGCATTTTGATTTTAATAATATACAATAATAGTGCATTTTCCTGTGTTTATTTTATGCTTTAGTTATGAATGTAATGTCTGTTGATTATCCACCCATCTATTCTCCAAACCATTTGTCCTATAGGGTTGCAGCTTGTTTATCTCTGTGGATTTTAAGATAATGTTTCTTTAACAGAAGGTGGTACTTTGGCATGAATTTTATTTTGTGATCAGCTGTAGCAGTATATGGTTTTCCTACAACGTCATTTGTTTGCTTCTGTTATCTATTCTGGAAATAAGAAAATAAACATTTTGTAAGGACACATGAAGATGCTTTTTATAGAGTGTTTTCTGTTTGTTTTTTTGGTCACCAAATTATGGAACATATACAGTCACTGACTCCTCTTAATATCTTGATACAAATGCTAGTAGACACAAGTGGCTTTTTTTGTACTGTTTATTTGAAGGCTTCTCTACGGAGCCCTGCACGTGACATGCAAGACAAAATAAATAAATAGTGTGCACAATTTACTAATTCGTTCCCTCAATGTACTAAATTGTGCACACGATTACTATTTCGTTCCCTCGATTTGCTAAATCGTGCGCACAATTTACTAATTCGTTCTCTTGATTTATAAATCGTGTGCACGATTTAGCAAATCGAGGGAACGAATTAGTAAGTCCGCACTTCTCTCTACGTATTGACAACAATATTTAGAAACCACATTAGCATGACATAAAACAAAAGCATGTAAAAAAAAAATATATAATAATAAAAAAATACAGGCAAACAAAAGTAAAGTTCAGACACACAAATCAAAAAAACGTTGTTGGCTACAGGGAGAGAGAGGGGGAAATAATCGTTTAATCTTCCTTACAATTCTTCACATCTTCTTAAAGGTCTTTGTGACAATCATTAGCCTTTACCTACTGAGAATTAAGTCCAAAACCTTCCTCTGACAATTATTTCTGTGTTTATTTCAGAGCCCGATGAAGCATCTGATTTAAACGAGCTGAGGATCATGTTATTGGGAGACTGTGGAGCTGGAAAGAGTCCAACAGCAAATGCAATACTGGGTCGAGAGGCATTTAAAGAGAGCAGAACCACAGAGACTGAGATACAGAGAGGAAGAGTAGAAGACAGAAACATCTCCATCATCGACACGCCAGGATTCGTCAACACTCATCTCACTGATGAAGAGCTGAAGAAGCAGATGATGAAGAGTCTGTATCTCTCTGATCCGGGTCCTCACGTGTTCCTGCTCGTCATCAACCTGGACACCTTCAGAGAGGAGCAGAGGAACATTGTCCAGCAAATTCAGGAGAACTTTGGAGAAGCAGCGTTTTTATTCACCATGGTGCTGTTTATTGGATGAGAAAAAGTCTCCAAAAGAGAATTTAATCAAATCATTGACAGTGAAGAAACACAGAAAATACTGAACTACTTTGAGGGAAGATGTCATGCAATGAACAGCAATGATGAATGTGATCTGAGTCAAATCATAAAGCTCCTGAAGGGTACTGATGAAATGGTGAAGAACAATGGAGGACAACACTACAGCAATGAGATCTACCTGAAGAATCAGAGAAAACGTAAGCAGAAAGAGAGATTTTAAAAAAAAAGGATGAAAAGAGACTGAAACAAGAAGAAGAGAGAATGAAACACGAGCCGGTGAGGGAAAGACAAGAAGAGAGAGGAGGGATAAATCAAGAGAAGGAAATAAAAACCAAAAGCAAAGAAAGCAGAATCAAAGCCGATAATGAGACGAAACAAGAGGATGTGAGTGAAAAGAAAACACAATATCTGAGAGGTAAGGATGCAGCAGTTCAGGAAGATCTCAGGAAACAGAGAGAAAATCTTAATATGTAGGGTATAAACGTGTCCTGTTTACTCTGTAAATGAACAACAGTATTCAGAAGCCTTTATTTGTATAGTATATAAAGATTTCATAATCAGTGAACTGTTGAACAGCTTTCCAAATAATAGTTTATTTTAATCTTTGTTTCACAGTGGAAGGAGACCTGAGGATTGTTCTTCTGGGTAAAACTGGATCAGGACAGAGTTCAATAGGAAGCACGATACTGGGCAGAGATGTCTTTAAAGTAAAACTCAACAGTGTGAGAAACATGAGGGACATGTGGAGGGTAGAAACATCTCAGTGATTGACACACCTGGGCTGTTTCACACGTCCATGACTGAAAAACATGTGAAGGCTGAGATTGAGAAGAGTTTGCAGATGTCTGCTCCTGGTCCTCATGTGTTTCTGCTGGTCATCAGACTGGGTAGATTGACAGAGGAAGAGCAAAACACAGTCCAATGGATTCTGAAAAACTTTGGAGAAGATGTTAAGAGATTCACCATAGTGCTGTTCAACGTAGCTAATAAATTAATCAAACCTTTAGAAGAAATGTTGCAGGAAACACAATAACTTAAGAAGTTAGCTAAAGCAAACACTGATTGCTTTAATGGTTACTTCAAACAAATGTTTCACTAAAGCATCAACATCTAAACCTCTGTAATTTTCACTGAGAGCTTTCATAGATGTCTGACAGAAAGTCTGTAATAAGTAAAGCTGGTAATGCTGTTTGTGGAGTTGTTTTATCAACAGTTTTGGAGTTGATGACTTCTTGGTTCAAAATCATGTTATCTGCAGCCCTGCATGGTCTCTGATTGAAAGAAGTCAAAATGGACATGATTTACTGTCATATGCTGTTCATAAAGAAAATTTATTTTATATGATTTCACTATTGATTTGATGTAAAATATGTGGTGATAGTAATTTTGTGTTCTTTTTAATCTATTTGTAATTGTTGTTGTTGTTGTTGAGGAAAAGCCCATGTTGAATTTCAACATTGAATCATTGGTGATTCACTGTTGGTCTGCTATCTGGGTAGCACTCTTTACTCATGCAGATCAGTTACATGTGCCGGTGGAGGATTATCTGGGAGAATGTCAAACACTGAAGTCATTAGTTCATCAGCATTCAGGAAGATTTCGATTTTTAACACCAAAGATGAAGATTGTTCTCAGGTCATTGAACTCCTGAACACTGAGCAGGACTATAAGGAGACTCAAAATAAAAGTATGAAGAATGTCATCATCAAATTAACCCATATGGTGTGCATTATGCATGTATCATGTGCAATATGCTGTTGTAAGAGTGTGACCTGTAGAGCGCGTTGCACTTTACCACACAATCGATGTGAAAACGGAGAGAAATTTGTGAATTCCTGTTCAAGCATTTATACTGTTCGTGGCTCCATCACCACTGTAAATTACTCATCAGCAGTTCTTTTGATTTTTAATATATACATTTTTGTGATGGTTTATTTTAATAGATTTTTCAGCATAATAGGTTTGTCTACATTTTTTATTTTTTTTGCAAGTTACGTCTAAAATCTTTACTCTGCCTGCACACTGAAAAAAGGCATGTAACATGAAATTAAATTAAATATGATAGTTGTAAGTAGAAATGCTATTTTCTTGTAAAACATACTCCAATATCCA